CTAACATGGACACTAACATGGACACTAACATGGACTCTAACATGGACTCTAACATGGACACTAACATGGACACTAACATGGACTCTAACATGAACGCTAACATGGACATGAACACTAACATGGACTCTAACATGAACATGGACTGTAACCCCTCCAGAACACTACGCTCTCAGAAGGCTGGGTTCCTTGTGGTTCCCATAGTCTCCAAAAGTAGCTTGGGAGCCAGAGCTTTCAGTTATCAAGTTCCTCTTCTGTGGAACAAACTACCAGTTTGGGTTCGGGAGGCAGACACGGTTAACACTTTTAAGAGTAGACTTAAGACTTTGCTCTTTGATAGAGCTCATAGTTAGGGCTGGCTCAGGTCAGCCCTTAGTTATGCTGCTATAGGATATAGCTCTCTCTCTATTATCATCCCCATCTCTAAACATACATGTCTCATTAATGCATGTTACTAATTAAACTTCTTCCCCGGAGTTTCTGTGCTCTCTCGTCCAGCAGGTTCTCATGGATCATGGCTGCTCCCTGTATTGGATCGTGGTTCACTACTGCCATGGCCCTGCCTGACATCCACTCTTGTTATTACTATTAGTCATAATTCCATGACATTAATATTTACTTGTTTATTATTGTAGCATTGTTGTATACCACCACTGCTAACCACTGCTACTGTAATCATTGTCTTTCATTGTAATTGTACAATATGTTTCTGTTGCGTTGTTCTGTACACGTGACATCCATTGCACGTCTGTCCGTCCTGGAAGAGGGATCCCTCCTCTGTGGCTCTCCCTGAGGTCTCTTCCACCTTCTTTTCCCTGTTAAAAGGGTTTTTTGTGGGCAAGTTTTTCCTCACTCAAACCAAGGGTCTAAGGACAGAGGGTGTCACTACCTGTACAGATTGTAAAGCCCTCTGAGGCAAAATGTGTTTTGGGAATTCGGGCTATACAAATAAAATTTGATTTGATTTGAATTGTAACATTAACATGGACACTAACATTAACTTTGATTTCATAGGGAGGATGTGCGACGGGACTCTGGACTACTTGTTAAGTCGGAGGCAGATAAGGCGGAGGGACGGTGCTGAGGTGAGATGGTGTCACGCAGTCAACAGCAGGAGCAGGCTGCACGAGGCGGTGACAGGTGTGTGTCCACTACAACATGTCTGACCACATCACTGATGGACTTTATCATGATAACACCTCCACCCAGCCCCCCCACACACTGATGTCTGTTGAAGCTCATTTCCACCAGCGAAAGAAAAAGACTATGGGAATTCATCCTTGATAATAAAAGATAAACATGGTATTTATAATGAGATCAAATGTAAAAGTAGCACTTCATTGTTTTATATTACAACTATAACTTGGTGTTTCTATAATCAAGGCCTTTTTTGATTTCATTGACAGAAATGGGGCTTCACAAGATATTAGCTCATTTGATGTTATAAATAAAATTGAAGGCACCGTCATGTGTCTTAAATCAGACTTTGTTTTTCCAAGGAAGAAACTTTATTTATTTGTTTATTTGTTAGCTTATTTACCAGCTGTCTTTTCAATGCTGAGTGGCAGCAGAAGTTAAAATGTGATTCATTTACCCCACGACTGCACTCTTCTCAACTCCCGGTTGTTTTATTGGTGTTGACATAAAAGCCAACTGTTCTCATCACCTCTCAGTTTGTAGAAAAATCAGTTTCACATAGACTCTTGTGGCAACAATGCTTATTATAAACAATTTAACTTTGCTTTCATTATAACACTACAAGTGACTTTGGTCTGTCTACACTCTTGTAGTCATCAAACTGACTGTTGAGAATGTATGTAGAGCAGAGCTGACTGAATGGTCCATTAGATAAAAGGATAAACTGAAAAGAAACTGATATATTTTCATAATTGGTTATCTCTTACCTATTCAATCTGATGATTGCAGCCTATCTCTCCTCTGTACTGCTGTAAATGTAGAATTAAATGTTTTTGTTTTGTTATGCTGACTTTATATTGATCAGACAGATATTCAGGGATATATCTGAACATTTATTACATTAGGAAGCATTTCCACCTATTAATCCTACCCTCTTAGGTCCAGTGTTGTTGACTTCTTGTCGCAGAGAGACTGATATAAATCTTTAGTGGTTTGTCAGGGTGTGTAAGTTATGCCTATTATTTTAGCCTTTCATACACATTCAGGTGCCAGTTTATCAGATATGTCATGTCCCACTTCTCCACAAAAAATCATGGAAATTGGTGGAGTAGTTTTTGTGTAATCCTGCTGAGTAACTAGTTTAATCAGACTTGGAGTCCTTTAGATATATTTAAACACTGAATAAAAAAAGAAAATGTTATGGTTAATTTACATACTTAATGACATAAATGAGTCAGTTATATAAGTTGCAGAATACATCAGGATAAAATGCTGCAAAAAACGGAACAAATCAAAAGTCTGTTGCACAGATGCATTATTTAGGCAGTGACATTAACTTGCATTCAGTCTGTTGTTTGAAGTGCTGATACACAACGTATATTCATATTTATATTTATTAATGATACAAATGATAATAATATGGCCAACACCATATCAAATGTGCAACATTAACATTAAAAGAAGAAGGATTTAGTTTGTTGAACTTATTTTTTACTATAAAAACTTCCCATAATGTCAGTTTAAATATACCCAACCCTAAATAAGTAAATCAAATATACAGAGTAGTGCATATTGTTTTTCTTAAGTCTTAATAATATCAGCTAATGAGTTTTTCACTGACCAGTTTGATCAACTGTGACCCTTAGGTCCCACTCATATGATTGAGGCAGACATAATCATGAGAGGTCATGACCCCAAAGAGCCAATCATGGCACACCCCCCTGACACAGACAGCGACATCACACTGAAGGAGTGGCTGGAAGGAGTGAAAGAGCACAACATGGGAATAAAACTCGACTTTAAGAGGTGAGATTCACTTGAATTCCCTCTAACTAATGCGCGGCTTTGTGTGTGATGTTCACCCTGCGGTTTACTCTCCCTGCAGCCTGGAGGCAGTGTCTCCATCTGTGGCTCTGCTGGAGGAAATGCTGCCTGACCTGAACCGTCCTGTGTGGATCAACGCAGATATTGTCTCTGGTCCTGGTGGACAGGCCACACCTCTGGACCCTCACGCTTTTCTTTCTGCCGTGACAACTCTCCCCACTCACGCTGTGCTCTCCCTTGGCTGGACGACAGGATGGACTGCTGGTACAGACAACCCAGGTGATGACACTATATTACCATTGGCTGTGTTTGCTGTATCAAGTTATCTCCTCAAAGTCTTCAGTCTTCAGGTTTTACTGAGATTCAATAGGTGAGAAAATTCAATTATATTCAATTTGTATTGCTCAAAATAATAACATACATTATCTCAAGGCACTGTACATACTGAGGTCTAGACCTTAAAAGTCAATGCTCTGACACACCAAGCCAACATCAGTCTGAAGGATTTCGAGCATGATGTGGTAAATTTATCATCCCAACCAATTCTCTAAATAAGGCTTCTTATGCTGACCTGATCATAATGTTTATATGTATTGATTCAAAGGCACAATAGTGAAGATGAAGAGAGGGAGAAATAAGCAGCGGCCACATATCTGCAGGAGGAAGCATGGCTGTGTTTGTCTTTGTGTGCGTGTCTGGGATTAGTAGGAGAATGCAGGAGACATACGTACATTTAATCCCAATTTGGCCTCTAATCAACTCTTTGTTGTCCTGGATTACTTATCGACACATTATCAAAGCATTTCAAGTCTTTTTTGTTTTAATTTAATCAATTACAGCTAATGAAAATTAAAAATCCAGTATCTCAAAATAATCAAATATTTCCAAAGATCAATCAAAAGAGGATTTGCAATACAGAAATGTACGACTTGTGAAAAGAATGTTCATTTAAGGACTGAGTACTTGATTGGGAAATTGATTGGAGGCAATCGGCCTGCCAAGGCATTATTGATGCCTAGATTGCTTTGATATGGGCCTTTAGCTTGTCTATTTCAATCAATCAATCAATCAAATAGTATATTAAGCCCATATTCCCAAATCACAATTTGTCTCATAGGGCTTAACAAGGTGTGACATCTTCTTGTCTAAGGTTTGTCCACTGAAATACTCGAAGGCTTTTACTTTGAAATGGTTAGATGTTGAATTTGTAGTAACAGCACACTGCTAACTTAAACGGGTGCAGATGATAACAGCCAACTAATCTTTAGCAGTTGAAGTAAACAAAGGCCTTGGTCATAATTTGAAGAAATGCAGTAAATGGTTTTGTGAAACTGTAGATACCGTGAGAGGCACCCTGCTTATGGATGTTTCGTTTAATTCTTTTCCAGGTTACAGCTGGGATATGGTGCATGTGATGGAGGAGATATGTAGAACCCTGAAACATCCAGTCACCTTCCCAGTACGTGCAGCTCTCCTGGCCCAGTCGTTCTCCCAGCTCACATGGCTGCTGCAGCAGTCAGACAGGTAATTGTAAACATGGTGAGGCCAGTCAGTCACATCAGCATTACTTCATCACTGCTGCACTGTCACACACGAGCCGTCCTGTCATTATGCCATGTTAAAGGAAACTTTTGGTTTATTGCAGCCTGGTGTATTTCCAATAAATGTAGGTTTTTCTAGCCTCTGTTGATTTAGAAAACTGAATATATTGGGCCATGAGTACATTTTTATGTTTTTCAGGAAAGGGAGCAATTTTGATTAAAAAATACTCAAATAACAGTTTTTGATACAGCAACAGCTAAATTGCACATTTTAATGCGTCTAAGATTTGCAATTGTTTAGGTACAGATTTTAATCAACTGTTCACTTGTGGGTTAAAAAAGGAAGAGATCCGGTGTCGTTTCCACACACACACACACACACACACACACACACACACACACACACACACACACACACACACACAAACAATATGTCACAGTTGAAAACAGTTCAGGTTAAGAGTAGAGAAAAGTATTTTTTGGTTATGGTAACATACTGTATAACAACAGACCTCACCTCTTGAATGAGTAATTATTTGTGGCACTGACATATGTAAATGAAACGTTTATGATGTGTGTCATCCCCTGTCGTTCACAGGTACAGTCTAACTGTGTGGACCAGCCAGAGTGACACATTTACCCCACAGGACTTACTGCCCTACAGAAAACAGGTTGACATCAGTAGGATCTACTATGACCTGCCTGACTGTCAAAGGACAGAGCTCAGTCTGACAGGAGGAGAAAATCCCTTTGAATAACTACACTGCAAACCAAGTAGTTTTCTGAACTCTGACTGACGACTGATGCCCCCAGGTGGAGAGAGAGGACTGTGAAACTTAGCTCTGTCTAACCAGGGGGGGCAGAAGAGGGGCCATCTTTGAGTGAATGATAAATGGTTTGTATACATATAGAGCTTTTCTAGTCTTGGTGACCACTCAAAGTGATTTACAGCACAGGTTGCCATTCACTCTTGCACACAGACAGTAGAGGGGGCAATTCAGGGTTCAGCATCTTGCCCAAGGACACATCGGCATGCTGATGGGGAAGACTGGGGATCGAACTGCTGAACGCTCTACCCCGCAGCCACAGCCGCCCAGCAGGGTAGTGTAGAGTAGTGTGTTTACAAACAGCCACTGACAAATCCTGCAAACTGTACTTACGAGTTACATTCTAGTGTCCATATCATCAGACTCACTCAGAGGATCTTAACATGAGGAAGTAAAGTGAAGTATATTTGTGAAGTTTATTTATGAAGTCTCTGTTTCAAAGTCTGTTTCCCCCCTGACCACACACAGCATTGTTGATTGTAGTGATGACTGTGGTCAGACTTGTGCTCGGTTGACAGGGTCATGGGGTACACCTGTACATCATTGTAGTCAGGTGACAAGTTTAACCACTGGAGTCGTCAGGGGCTATTTAGGATCCAGTTTCTTGCCTAAGGACATATCAGCATGTGGAATGGAGAAGGCATAGATCGAACCGCTGATCTTCTGGTTAGTGGACAACCCGCTCTACTTCCTGAGCCAGAGCTAATTTATTGCTTTGATACTTGGTAGTTCAATGTACTATATGAAAATGCATCTATTTAACATTGATATCAAGTTGATTTTCAGATGTAAACTCTTTATATGCAAACTGAAGCTGTAAAATAGAAGTGATTGATTAAAAATGTTTCTCAGTTAGAAATTGCAGTAGAAGTATAAAGTAGTGTACAGTGTTAAAGTTCTCAAGTAAAAGCACAGTTACATTCCACCGCTATTTTATTATGACTATTTATTTAATAAATAAATTGGGCAGCTGTGGCTCAGGGGGGAGAGTGGTCGTCCTCTTAACAGAATTTGGTATTTTGATCCCAGTCTTCCTCACTCCGCATGCTGAAGTGTCCCAAGATACTGAACCCCAAAATGTTCCCTTCTCATAGAGAAAGTACTGCACAAAGATGCAGACTATGAATGTGTGTGTGTGAATGTCTGAAAGGCAAAAAACTAATTTAAAAGAATTGTGAGTGGTCATGAAGGCTATAAAGGCTGTAAATAAATATACAGACCATTTTTCCAGTTCAAACTATGGCTAAGTGATCAAGTACAACGGACAATATGAATAGGAATATTTTTTAAATGTAGTGATGTTAGAAAAGATGCTGATTTTTATTTTAGACTTAACCTGAGCCCTATAAACAATGAAGTAAGTAAATAAGTCCACAAAATATTTTTATTGTGTCACATCTGGTGAATTCAGACTTTAGGAATGCACACAGAATTTGAGTAGCTCAGATAAGCCACTCACTAACACAGTAAAGTGAGCAATGTCAATGGTATTTGTGTCAGAGAGCTGGAGGTAAATATTAGTTTGAATGATCAGTGGTGAGCAGAGATTCGACAGATGATCTGGTATCAAACTGTGAGGTTGAAGATATCAGCAGATGTTAACAGCATTGTGTTTACAGTGTATGGATGTGAGATCGATCCTGGTTGTTAGGTCTCATTATCACTGGCTGCACAGTTCTGCACTGAGAGCTCCCTGCTGATCACTGCTTTTATTCTCTGCAAATAAAACGCTGAGGAAAAATTCCAAAGCAACCTTGTCTTCACTTTATGCACAATGTTCACCACAATGTAACATCATCATAACAAAGTGACTCATCCTGATACAAAGCAAATCATTTTCAATTGAATAGCTTTACTGAGAATACAGAGTATAATACTACACAGTTTGAAAAGGAACATTGAAGGTTGAATGTACCACTAAGTGTTGCTACTGACTAAACTTGACGTGGATCTGACAGCGGTGTTCTTGGTGCACAGGAAGACAACTACTGCCCACAAAAGAAGCCATGGATTTCCAAACTGCTTTGTTTAAGTACAGTAATAAAATATTATCATAGTTATTATGACTCGATGATTTTAAAAAATGAGCACATTGACCAAACATTAGTCTTTCTCCGGTTCAAAAAATCACACACAAAGACAAATGATTTAAAAATGAAGTACATCACATCTGACACCCAATGAAATAGCTCCACTGTATGTTACAAATAATGGGAATGACTACATAATGCACATGGATAGTAATAGCAAATACTAGTAACTACAGGGAGAGGAGGCCCCCTTGTGGAAATTATATNATATCCACTGCGATTGTGTATTTTGGACTTTTCATAGTGAAAATTCAATTCAACATTAAGGTTGTAAGCTGTATTAAAGGGCCCTCACTGAGAACTGAGAGGGCTGAAAGAGACAAAAATATTCCTGAGCAACACTGAAGTAAAAATACTAGAAATCAATTCTATAAAATGTTATTGTATAGCACTAACACACAATATAAATGATCTCAAGACACTTAACATAGTAAGTTCCTAGAGAAACCCGACAGTTTCAACAACTTGCAGCATGAAAGCATGAAGTTACACCATCAAACTATTGACACTATTTCTCAGAGCCCCATAGTTTGTCTATGATATACAGGCAAGGATCAGCTACTTCCTGAGTGTTGAGCAGAAACCTGCTCCTAGAATGTTAAAGCAAACAGACCAAGCCTTTGTTTGAGGAGCATGCACTTATGTGCGCAACAGGAAAGCATTTACGTACCTTCTCCAGAGCCTTGGCCCTTTCATCACCTTTCTGCAGTAGACTTTTAGTGTGACTTGTGGCTTTGTCAAGAATGGCCTGTGTGAAGAAGAGTCATTTTTACCCATTGATTGAACAAAATCAAGACTCTACAGGCTTTTATCTCATTATCATAGAAGCAGTTAGTTCTTTATCTCTGAGGTCAGCTGTTGTTCCTTGGGTGAAGTGATTCAGGTGTTCATTTGCTATGCATGTACATTACAGAAGTGGGTGACATGTGCAACTTTATCACCCTGAATTGTAGTTTATTCTAACTCCAACACCTTTACTGTGTTGATACATGCTGCACAACATCAGGAGAATATGTCCCTTTCTCACTCGGAAGGCAACACAGGTTCTGGTCCAGGCTTTGGTCATCTTATGCCTAGACTACTGCAACTCCCTCTTGGCTGGTTTACCTGTGCAATCCGACCGCTGCAGCTCATCCAGAATGCAGCAGCTCAACTGGTCTTCAACCAACCTAAGTTCACTCACACTACTCCACTGCTCCGCTCCCTTCACTGGTTACCAGTGGCTGCCCACATCCGCTTCAAGACACTACTTGTGTACCATGCTGTGAACAGATTGGGCCCAGTCTACATCCAGGACATGGTTAAATCTTACACCCCAGCCCGTCCACTCCGCTCTCTATTGACCAATCAGCTTGCTGCTCCCTCACTGTGAGCTAGCCACTCAAAATCAAGACTGTTTGCTGTACTGGCTCCTAAATTGTGGAACCAGCTCCCCATAGACACCAGGACAGCAGAAAGTCTACACATCTTCCATTGCAGACTAAAGACACATCTCTTCCAACTACACCTTGGTTAAGAAGATGAGGTCTAATAGCCATCGTCAACTCTGGTGTAATAAAAACTAAAATAAAAAGAGGTAAGATGAGATTTGATAAGGAATGTATTAAGATAACTTAAGTGTATAATATATCAACACTTGCAGGCAGGCAGTGGCACCAGCATGTACCTACTCGGAATGTAAAGAGCAAAGAAATGAGAGCCACTCCCCACTCATGGTACTTACATAGTTCTGTTGCAGGAGCTGTTGAGGAAAATTGTTCCAGCATATGCTAATTTAGTAAATGAAACATTTCTTAATTTTCTAAAGCACTTACATCTTCCCCTGCATTCAAAATTTTATTCTAGCGGCCAAAAGTTTCCTCAAAGTTGACCAGCTGATTTATCTGCTCACTCTGCATTGAGTGGCGTCTCCACAGCATTTTCTTGGCTTTTAGATTCCTTGGGAAAACGGGTGCACATGGTAGAATAGGCTTTGACCCTGTACTTCCACCATTCAGCGTCTTACTACTTCCACTCAAAGGGTAAGATGCGCTAGAGCTGACCCCGATATCAGGTATGGGAGTGTGGGGATTCAGGGGAGGAAGGTATCCAGGGCGAGTGTGAGCTATGTGATCTAGAAGATGGGTCCCTGAGCCTCTACGCTCAAGCCTGGCTGTGTCTCGTCTTTGGGCTGAGCTCTCCAAGGACTCCCTGGATCCCGAGAGAGTGGAGGACCTGCTGGTGGCTAACTTGTGCCTTTCTGATCCCACTCCAGCTCCACCACTGTTCTTGGTGCTGTTGTCTCTGCTGCCAAACTGTGGTAACTGAGAGTCTGAATTGTAGTGGTTCATACCAATGTTCCGCCGACGGACCACATTTTTCAGACTTGAAACATTCAGTTGTCTCAGACAGACGGAGGAATCTTCATCCACAGGACTGGATTCATGAGGAAAGGGGACACTGTCCTGATGCAAGTTTGGATGTGAAGTAAAATGCAGGGAACCTGCAGCACTGTCATATGACATCTTTCTGCCAAAGCCTCTTCTTCCACCTCCTCCAGTATTCTCATGTCCTGGCATGTTCTCTTGTGCTTTCAGTAGCCCTGTTGTGTCTTTGACATCGATACTGTGGTGGCGTGAAACAGCAGGAGGTCTTCCATGGATGGCAAAGCTAGTGAATCTGAGAGACCAGTCCTCCAGAGGTGTATCTTCCACTGGTTCCTCCGTCAGGGAGCAGGTCTGGCTCTGCTGGAGCAGCAGGGAAGGACTTTTGGTCCACGGCTCTGAGTGTAGTCTGTGGAGATTAAGTCGCTTATCCACTGCAGGAACACATAAAGGACTAGGATGTTGGATTGGAGAACCTGGTTGAGATATGACGATCCCAGGTCCTGAGCATAAACCCTGGGAATCCCTGTGGCCAAGAAGAGGGGAAGCACCCACTGAGGAGCCCTGTGGGGACGTTTGCAGCTGGAACTCATATGCAGACATGCAACAAGGTGGAGTGTAATGGAGACGCTCCTCGAGGTCAGGAGGTGGAGGAACATTGAGGTACTGTTTTGTCACCTGATGGCCAGATGGCAGTTTGTTGGTGGTGATGATGATAACTTCTTTACCCTTCACCTTGCAGGCGTCCAGGAGGACCCTGAGGACATCCCTGTTTCCTGAATTGACTGCATAAATCAATGCTGATAATCCTGCGTGATCCTCAAGAGTTGGATCAGCTCCACTGTTCAAAAGAAGTGACAGGATTTCAGCTCCAGCTTGTTCGAGGCACGCGTGCATCAGGGCTGTTTTCCCTTTCTTGTCTTGAATGTTTGGATCAGCTCCACTTTCTAAAAGATACCTATTAGGAGAGATCACATTTATTACACCAGGAAAGTGGAAGCTAGTAATCCTCAACAAAAAAAACACATACTTTTACCAATCAGCAACTTACCGAACCATCTTGTGTTTGGGAACACTCTGGGAATCTGTGTGGCGCGTCTTGCAGGCCACCATAAGCGGTGTCTCTCCATGTTCGTTACTCTCGTTAATGTAGGCCCCGCCCTCCAAGAGCAGGCGAGTCAAACGCAGACGACTCAGACACACTGCCTTCAGCAGAGAATTGCCATCTGTTCGAACCTCTGAAGACTCATCCATTGTAAAGATCTTTGTTAACTTCAATTCACCTTCAGTGTCTGATGTGAGATCCTCACTTGTGTGTCCACAGCCGAGTGCCTGCGGGGGGAAGAAGAAGTTCTCAGTTATGATTTGGGCAGCTGTTGGTGGCTTTGCATTGTGGGTCCTCAAACCAGGTCAGAACCTCAGATAAACTGCAGAGTCCATGCACACATCGATGAACATATTATTTTTTCTCTGATCCACATTCCTAGTCTTCTCTGCATTTACTATGATCAGATTGCACACTGATCATACTTATTTGCATACTTACGATACATTGACTATTTTTTTATTTCTTACATGTGCACTGTAAATACACAGTATCTGTGTTATCGGTTACGTTAGCGCACTAAAGTTACGAGTTGTAAAATGTTTTTGCAGGTAAAATTTGAATTTTCAAAATTACAACATTCTCATGCAGTAAACAATTTTTTTGCTTTGTCACTGGGCAGTATGACCAAGTTTTCTGACCATCCACTCTGTTGTTTTGCTGACATCACAGTAAACACAGCGGAGAGAGAACAGGACCAACAGCTAAACCATCTCAAAGACTACACCTGGCTTTATGGAGCTGGTCGGCAGGAGCTCATCTGATGAGCTCTCTTTGCCCTTCTCTGTTACTCTGCCACTGCAGGTGAGGCCAGTATATGAACGACGCTCATCTACACAGCCCATAGAAATGATTACACAACTTATCTGAGGTGATGTTGCTTCACTCCTGCAGCAAATTGTGTGTGTGCCCTTGAGTTTCTCAGAATCTAACAGACTGTGACTGAGAGCGTGTGTGTCAGTTGGGTACACATGTACGTGAATATATTAGATGAAACATTTTAAGTGGTCAAAGCGTTGGTGTAGTTTTCAGTGTATACACTGTGGCATCTGAAGTATCTGCAAATCTCGATTAAGCTGTAGCCTAGGCTAAAAACAGACCACCTTTATTAACCACACAGATAATGTCCCATTACCGCACGTCTGTCTGATCCTGAGGCACCTCCACAATGTTACATGCATGTAATATGTAATATTGTGTGATCAGGCCATATTGTGCTTTATATCCTCCACACTAACTCTTTAACCAAAGTTAAAGGAAAACTCTTGTATTTTTTTCAACCTGGGTCCTATGTTTATAAATGTGGATGTGTACCTTACACATCCACACTTACAAAATATTTTGCTTTTGGCCTAGACCGTATGCCAAAGTTGTGCAAGATGCTGAACTCTGAATTGCCTCTTCCCTGCACATAGATGCACTGTATGAATGTGTGTGTGAATGGAAAACTTTTCTGTAAAGCACTTTGAGTGGATTTTAAGTGGTAGAGCTAAGGGGTGAATTGGGACAGGCTCTTAGTAGACCGAAATTGCCAGTCATAACATTCATACATGCCCACATTTATAAACATATGAGGCCAAGGTTGAATAATACTAGACTTTCCCTTTAAACTGTCCTACTACCAATCCCCACCCAATCCAATTATATCACTTCCAAGTAATTTTATTTTTTAACATTACTGAAATGTTGGAAACAACATGAGAGCGGAGTTTTTGGGCTGATTGGTGAAGCTTTTACAAAATATGCACCATGGCTTGATTTAGACCATCAAACACTGTATCATAGGGCTGTTGTTATTAATGCAGCATCACATTAGCAACATTTCACCACTGTAACTGGTTAGAGAGGAGCTCATTGTAACTGCAGTGTAAACGTTTGTTTGTTTGTGTGATCTGTAACACCGAATCATATTTTAGAAATTCATAGTTTTGTGTGTAAAATCTGTAAAGTAACCAATAAAATAACCAATAATATTAACCACATGAAATTGGAAACAAGCCGTTTTACAAATAGGGTGTTCGAACTTTTAAAGACACTCACACACATTCACTCAACAGGGACAGGACATAAAGATACTGTTGATAGCATTATGGGAAATGAGGGAACTAAACATTTTAAACACCACTATAGGTGCAACCCATAACAACTACAAATCTGTACTATCTGTTTAATGCTGTAATGGTTAATTAGGCAGGACCAAAACTGTATATGTGAAGATCAGGAGGTTTTAACCTTTGTTAGCAGCCTGTTCTGTTGGTTGACATTCAGCCTCATCTGTGCTTCTTTGAGCGGCCGGGCCTGGCCTTCAGCTCGCACCAAAACAGACAGAATAGCTAATGACAGACAGCAGAGAAAATGTCATTCCTGACCATAACTCCACAAGTGAAGGCTAGATATTTTTCATTTAATTCTCTCAGGTAAAGACATCAGTATTTTTATTTATTCAAGTAAAGTACTGGGGTTTTATGTACCAGGAATGTTTTTTCTTTGAAAACGACAAAAATAACCCTGCAAGGACACATTTAATGAAAAGAATCCTGTGCTGCCTGTCATTTACCACATGAACATATTCAAAACTATGATTACATGTGGCTATCAGATCAAGCAGATTATTATCTCTGCATTATTTACTGGATATATCACATTGTTTTCTAACAATTGACGAGTCCTGTTTCAAGGCCTTAATACTCTTTTTTGTAGTAGGAAGCACAAGATTATGCAAAATTACACAACTCTTACATGAGTTGCATCCTCCCGACTTGAGCATGAGGTTTTATTTTCTACTGTTGTTACGTTCTCACTGAGTAATTAAAAGAACATTTCAGAAAATGTATGGCATACAAATGCAACAACACAATATAAGATTATTTCAAAAAGCACAACTGTAGACATTGACACTAATTTCACCACTTCAGGTTACTGTTGGCATGTGCACAAACTTACCTGGATGTGTCTGGATCTTTTCCATGGAGGCTGTTCAAACTGCAGGCCCCCTACCACTGATGGGTCAGCGTCGCTGTGCAGGCTGAGGAGAAACCAGTGTGGAGAGCAGACATCCGTGCAGGGGAATGACTGATGAAAGTGAAGAGTGTGGAGACAGATATTCATCAGATGTGAGCGAGGGGCTGGCCTATGGCTGCTGAGGAGCAGGAAGCACGCAGCCAATGACAGCACATCCTATTATGGGCAGCAGACGGTGGTCTTTAGTGAAGCATTTGCGCAGTTACGACTCATCTTTTCACCTTCACATATCTAGACTTAAGATGTGCGTGATGAGAATGGTGCAGCTGACGTCACCGGAAAGTTCAAGGCTGCAGACAGATTTTGTTTGGTGAAGATTACGCAACAGGAATGTTCGCTCACTTCGAGGACGTGATTTTGGTGTTGTAACCGGAGGAGAAAAATGCTTTTCTCCAATGTGTGAACATTGAACTGTTTTATAGAAAACAATGAGGTTTAAATGTACTGTTCTCTTCCTCATACCGAATCATCTCTTACAGTTTGTGATTTCCTGTTTACTGCATAACTTGATACATTATAGGGACGTTTTCACATCACACTCAGCTATTGAACTGATCTTCAGTAATGTGATACAACACGTGTTATGTCATAATGCCATCTCTTGAAATACACCTGGGAACAAAGCTTTCTATATGTCTGCTCCATCCCAGGCACTTGTCCAGCATTCACTGTATCCTCCATGAGGAAAAGAATTCCTCTGTGGATCTGGGTTTATTTACATGCAGAAATAACACAAAAAAGTCTCAAATTATATTGTGGTTTTGAGAAGGAAATTCAAAAATGTCCAGATGCTTGTAGCTGTAGCATATCAAAACAGCCAAGACAGCTCTATAGTGTCTTCAGATAGAACAGAGAGCAGAGAACTGCAGATGCAGCTCAGAGAAACACAATGTAGACAAATATGATGGATGAAATAAATTTGATTTAGGCTTTTAGCCTTCGGTTCCATAACTCGAGTCGATGATGAGTCCCTCACAAATGTGTAGTTTGTCTACTCTGCATTCACAACACCCAGGAACCGCAGCTGAGTAACACAGTAACAATGTACTCGGCTGGTGTTGCTGTAAAATGTCAGCTAAAATATGATTCTATTTAAGATAAACCTTTTTCTAATGATTACATTAATTACACCCCCCCCACCTGTAAATGACTGCAGTGTAGTTGAAATCAAAATTTATTGCAAGACAACACCCAACTGTACAAATCACATTTAAAACCACTTACAAAGTCCAGCATTTACATTGCTCTGGTGCCCATTTACAAAATCACAAGGCTTTTTTATGTGTCCTCTTCATGGCTCTATGCTCTCATAGACTTCAAATCTGTACTGGATACCGTTCTCCTCCTGCAGCTCCTGTGGCACTCCTGGAAACCTGTGGCAGACACAAAATAACTGTCAACTTTACAGGACGACGTGTGTTTTCTCTAGAACCGTTGCTTTGATGCAAAGCAGTCGGATCATCTTACTTCTTCACCTCTCTGAAGTGTTCTTCGTTCCCCAAGACCTCAGCAATTGACAATGAACGTGTAAGTACAATACAAACTAATATTTGCCTTTCACAGACACATTTAAAACTTTTATTTTACAGAATAAAACAATGCAGAAGAGATGTGCATTTATGTTTACATTTTACTAAAATAAATGTTAATGTTCCGACTTGTTTTCATCTTGATTATAGTTATTTAAAAAAAAAAGGTAATGGTTAAACTGTAAAATGCCTCGTGTTCTTTTTTGTCATCAGGGATTGATAATGACAAATCATTATTTTAGGAATCATTAATCAAATGCTTTTTAAATATATATGTTGGCCGATATATCAGTATCTGGACATTTCTACACCCCAATATCGGCATCTGCATCCTACAATCTATATTGGTAACCAAAATAACTATGGTCAAACCTCCAAAATAAGAATGTGGTCATAGTTTAATCCTACATGACTCACAGAATGGTGCTGTACATGTGTGCTGATCTTACTCTGGCAGCTGCCGGTATTTGTCTGGACTGATTTCCGGGAGGAAAGTGTCACATTCAAACTGCTTCAGTATTCGTGTGACAAACAGTCTCCTGGTCCCCTGGCTCTCCATCATCTCCTGGTAACCCAAAGCATTCAAGGAATAATTAATACAGAGAGAAAAGGAGTTTGTATATGTTGCAGTGTGTGTGTGGAGTTTATTTTCATCCTGAGGTGCTTCACCACGACCATCAGGTTTTATTACAGTCAAATTCAGCAGTTTTTCACAAAAATCGTTCTTATAAATCTAAGAATGTCTGTGATTTAAAATTATCCACCATTGTGCTTATTTATCTATATTGTTCTAACATCACTAGCGAGCAGTGCACACCCTGGGTGCTCCATGCAGTACCTTGTAGAGAGATCTGCCTCCTATAACCCAGACCTGGTCGGCCAGGTCAGCGAGCTCTGTGTCGACGAGCCTGAGAGCCGAGCTGAAGTCTCCTGCTAGATGGTGTGCTCCTGCAGGGGGCACTCTGTGGGAACACAAGGAGTTGTATAAAGCCACCGGCTCTGTGTAGACCAGGTATTAACATCCATCCTAAGAGACCCAATTACAAGTGGACAGCTGGGCAGTCGCCTGTTCACACCTGGTATTAAAATGCGTCCTGAATGTTTCTCCTACGCTCTGTATGCAAATAAACATTCTGTTCACGGAGACCACAGGCTGTTGTTTTTACCCAGTCTACGGTTGCCACAAACAAATCAACATATGTGCACTGAGGGGTGTAAAAATACTAAGCGGGTCAGACAACATCAGCACATTTGCATTCACACAGAATGTGGCCGCATCCATTCATTCAAAAAGAAATGAACATGGCCTCTGAATGAAATCCAGCCAGCAATTACATGTTAATGGCACTCAGTGTTCATTTAAATGAGGCAGGGTTACTGTACTACTGCTGCAGAGGTTCACAACAGAACCTGAACAAACAGAGCAACAACTCAGTCGAACAGAAAGCACTACACACAGGTGGCAGTGTATCTACAGTGTATTCCATTTGCACACAGTGTTGTGCGTCAGCTTTAACTGTGTGACACATACTTGCACTGCCTGCTGAGGACGATGTTGATCCTGTTGTTCAGAGGTCTGTTCTTCTCTGGGATGGAGAACCACGTCTTCCTGCCCATGATCACCACATTCTGTTTACCTGCAGGACAACAAGGTTAGAGTCCTCTCCACGATATTATGAAGGAAAGCAGTTGATATAAAGTGCTGTACACATCACTGGCTCCATCTGTTCAGATGATGGCTTTATGTCATTCAAGTATTTGCCCTTTTTTACAAAATGGCGGGGGAAAAAAGTTTATATACATGGTTGGTACCATATCACTCCACTAGAACACTGCGCTCGCAGAACTCAGTATTACTTGTTGCCCCTAAAGTCTCTAAAAGTAGAGTAGCAGCCAGAGCTTTCAACTATCAGGCTCCTCTCCTGTGGAATCATCTCCCAGTTTCAGTTCAGGAGGCAGACACCCTCTCTATGTTTAAGAGTAGACTTAAAACCTTTATCCTTTCTGATAAAGATTATAGTTAGAGCTGGTCCAGGTCTGTCTTGGACCTGCTCTTAGTTCTGCTGCTCTTCATCACATTAATGTCTTATGAATACATGTTTTAAGGAGTTGACCTCTTCCCTGAAGTCCTTGTGCTTTGTCATTGCAGATCCACGTGATTGTGGATCACGATCATGAATAGAGGTGGCGGATGAAAGAGTATGATTACAACTAGATTGCATGGATATACAATATTCCTACTCACATGTACTACCATTACTGGTAATACTGCTTTCATTACAATTGCCATTACTGCTCCCTTCATCTCTGTCCGACATTTTCTTGTATAAATACTTTGAACACTGATACACCTCTCCATCGACACATCTTTTCTCATGAACATGTTCTGCTCTTCTGTCAGAGACAAATTGTGATGTATGAATATGAGCTATAGAAATAGAGCCATATACCTGCAGAGCCTGATATTACATCCAGATTCACACAGTAAGCTTGGTGTAATGACTTTAATGTTAAAGGCAGTGTAAATCCTTTAGCTGTTGTCTGGTTGTACAACCTAAACCTGTTTCCTGTGAATGTTTAACTAGGAAATCAGACTGTGTCAGGCTTTACTGTGCACAGTTGTGTATTCTGTGGTAAACAGAGAATGTTTAACTGGAACATGAGCTTTGACCTTTGAACCAGGTGTGATCATAGTAAACAAGGTGGACTTCGTACCTTTCTCCGATGGAGTCCCTGTCATGGTTCTGAAATGTTTGAATTCGTTGCTGAAAGAGAAGCAGACGGGATTGATTTGTTTCTGCTGCAGTGAGCCGCCACGTGTCCCCCTCTGTTGTGAGGCTAATCTGCGGCTCGGATCTTAAACTGAATCTTTTCATGACTTCCATGAGAGTGACTGACCTGAGTCTGACCGGATGCCAGGGCAGGTTCCCCTTGTTCCCGATCCCCAGGTCAGGACACACCGCCACGATTCCGTTGAGCATGCGAGACATCTCGTCACTGCGCTGGACCCTGACGCTGCTGCTGCGTTCAAGCTGCTGCTGCTTCCCGCCAGTTAATGACGCACCGGAAGTGATCACACGACTCCTCCTCTGTCTTCAGGATAAAATATAAAATTCAAGTCCTCCAAAAACTTTAATGTTATCATGTAATTGAATTTGTACACGGCGATATTAACCCTTACCAAAACAGAACAAGTTAGTGCGCTGTTTTAGTTAAATCATCACTTTCTATGACCTTGGATATAATTTATTACATGTGGACATCTTTTATTTATATTTCTTTAGAGTTAAATGAACTTGTTTGTTTTTATGTCATTTGACTGGTATTTATTTTACTTTAATTAAATTAAATTAAATTTGGACTGTATTGTCTATTAATCATTGCCCAGCTCTTTTGTCAAATTATTTTTTTTGTTACATTCATTGTGGTTTTACACGTATCCTTCCATCATCATTACTACTGTATTATGATTATTATACTCTACATGATCATTATACACTTCTATATTATCAAATTGACCTTAGGCACCACTGACAGGTTGATTGTATCAGAGCAGAGGACATGTCCAGATATCTTTTTCTTTAATGATGCCTAAATGCTGTATTTGTCTATATATGTGACAAAACGTTGACTAAAGTTTTTTTTTTTCCAGTTTTACGGCAGCTGACAGTCGTGTCATTAGATCTCTGCCATATTGAGGCATTAAAGACCTCCAACCAGTCTTGAAAATCAACTGCAATAACATCTGCATTCCAACAGGACATTTTCCCAGAGGTAACTGTTAAAAGTTCTGTGCATTTTACACCAACACCTTCCAAATCATCTCCACACTGCCAGGTGTTATACTGGGAAAAAAATGAGAAATGGCAAATTTTATTTATTTGTCCCAAAAATATCCAGTTTGAATTTTGGTGTTATAATAGACATATTTTCCTGAAAAATGCCCATCAGAAAGTGTCCAGTGGTAAATAAAAGACATTGACAAGTAAAAAAATGTTTTATTGTAACTGCTACATTACAATCAGAACTATAGTACAAAATTGTGTATAAACTACACACACAAAAAACATTTTTTACATTAAGTGGCTCAGATGCAGGAGCTTTGGTCGGACTCAGCACTGTCGTTGGTGAGAATATAGACGTCTCCTTCCACTCATGAACATCCAGTATTTTGTGCCAATATTTGAAAAGGCCGCCTGTGTGCATCATATCCGTGTTGTCAAACGTGGACAACACTGCTGGGATGTGAATGATGAGCCAGTCCACTACATACTGTACATAACATGTAGTGAGAGTACATACTATATACATTAGTCTCTGTCTGACGACTGGCCTCTCAGCTTGAGGGAGCGGTGTTACAGTGAGTACAGCAGGGGCAGCAGTGGAGTGAGTCGTGGATGAAGATATCACATTCCAAACAGAACACACTGTGACAGGATGGACAGGTGAATACCTAGAATGTGAATAGAATACGGGGACCGTGAGGGAGACAGAGCAGTTAGAGATGGGTAGAGGGATTGAAGTTGAATAATATTTGTGTGATTATTTCCACCCTAAATTTCAAATCTGTGTGTATATTTCTAATCAAAACTAAATTCAATCAGCGGTCCTCCAGTAACCCCTGAAGAAGAGTCTCCTGGAACATGGTACTGTTTAACTGTAACATGTCTGAACTCAGCTTTTATTTTCTAAGCTGAATAGAACTTTCTGTGACAAGTAAACTGAACAAAAGTGAACTACCCATGATTGTTAGGAAAATTTAATATTTAACAGATTTGAAATGTGTTCAGCAGTGTAGTTGTCCATTATGGTTATTGTGTATGGTGGTTGAATAAAAGTAAAGTATAAAATATAATATAGAGATCAAAGTATTTATATACATTACTAATATAATAGAAAAAACATAGTATTCAGCTGATATACTTACACATTTATCCTTTAACTCCCCTTGACAAGCTTGACAGAACCTGAAACCAAATCACAACAGATTTAGATCACAGACTCTTTATTAAGATGAAGTGTCTCCATTTTCTCCCACTACCCATTAGTGACATATAATAATATCCACAAAATGCTGCCATCTTGCGCATTTGGAGTCTGCACAGTAGCGATCTGGAATGGAGGAACTTTAGCAACCTCTCACAGATACACACAATCGACTACTCGTAAGTTGGTCTCAGCTTTCAGTCATCCACTCACGAGTGGTCGAGTGTGTGTAACGTGATATTTCAACCCATTTTACAACATCAAAAAATTTATTAGTCTGAAAAGAACTACCTAAAATGACAGAAACCATCTTTGAGAAAAAAATATTTGATGTGTACTTTGACTTAAAGGTTCAGTGTGTAAGATTTAGATGAAAGGGATCTATTGGCAGAAATTGAATATGAAATAATCCTAGTGATGTTTTCACTGGTGTGTTTGATCTAAATTAAATGAACTGTTGTTTTCTTTAACCTAGAAGGGGCTTTTTACTCTCTACGGGGGCCGCCATGTTTTTTACATTAGTCCAGACTGGACAAACTAAACACCTTTTGAGTTTTATGACAACTGAAGCTACCACAGGTTCTTTTTCATGTTTGGAAGGAGAGGGTGAGGTGAGGGGTGTTCAGCTGCAACATGCAACTTCTACACTAGATATAACTAAATTCTACACACTGAACCTAGACTGTAACGGGTCAGCTAAGTTGGTACGCACCTGTGTCTCAGTGCGGGAGACAAGGGGAAAGTGAGTGAGCTGAGTCAGGTTGGATTAATTTAAAGAATATACATATATGTGTGTTTGTGTATATATATATATATGCTGTGTATATATATATATATATATATATATATATATGTTACAGTCTAACATTTTATAGAAAATAAGGACAAAACCTCATCAATGGACAAGTTTTCTTTTTTATTTGTATATATATGTATATATATATATATAGAAATAATGAATGGCCAGTTTGTGGTTTAATTTATACAGTTGAGATGTAAAGATGAAGACAGTGACCTATATGATGATGTAATGACATGGTTCTAAGGCTGCTCTAGCTCATGGAAAAGTAAACTGGTTCATAAAAGGTTCCCAAGTTGAACCAGCTTCAAACCAGAACCAGCATCAGGACAGCACTGGCACTCAGTTCTCTTTGGTGGAGGCAGAAGGATTGAAGGCCTATAGCCAGCCACAGGGGGACGACTGAGAGGGCTGGGCTTCACTTTTGGGGAGTTGTTAAGTTGTCAATCTTTATATACAGTCTATGGTTTAGAGTCACAGCAGCACAGTATGTTTTTGTGAGCGTGTGAGTGTATTAGAGCCACCTGTCTCCTTGGAGCTCCTCCACACGACTCTCTACAAAGGCCTGGAGGGGGAAGAGGTGGTGGAAGGATCTGGCGAGATGTGGGGCTGACACCAGAGTCAAACCTTGGAGATAATATAAAACATACACACCAGGAAAAGAATTACATTGAGGTTTTGAAACCACAGGATGAAAATTGTAAAGTTTAATCTAATCTGTCTCTCTCTCTCACACACGAACACACAGAGTGAATCCTCCTTCAGGCCTACCACAGACTTTACACTCCACAGGAAGCTCTGTGTATTTGCCGTGGCACTGTGGACAGAAGTACCCTCCCAGAGACAGACCGGGACCACCACTGCTGTCCAGATGACTGAGAGACACACAGCAGGAGCAGTTCATTACAAAGACAAGCCATTCTCCTACAAGCAGGCCGCTCCCTGCCCAGGCCTCAAGATTTAAAATCAAATTATATCCAACTTACGACATGCTGAATGAAGGCTTGGCATCCTGGTCAGTCAGAGCAGCGATAGTGTGCTGAGGAAATCCTGAGCAACACAGGTACACACAAGTAGGTCTGAGATGCTTTCACAGTCATGAATAATCTTAACACTTTAATGAGGAACATGAATCAGAATCACCTTAATAAATAAATGTTACCTTCCATCTCTAAATTCACAAATTTCTAATGGTGTTGGCGAAGACGTGAATTACTAATTCTTCAAAAATGATACATTGCAATTTTTTTTCAAATTAATTATTTCAAAATCTAACCAATCTTAGCTCCCAGGGAATAAGGGATGTATCTCCAGACTTCAAATTATATGGTTGATGTTATTCAGCCTTTCTGACACTGACTACGTTTCCATGGAAACATTTTGAATTTGCCGCATTTTGCGACATCGACATAGAAAGAAAACACTGGTAGCATCATACGGCCCATGAAAAGATCAACACTGAGTTATGCTGTCATGCAACAGACATTGTGACAAGTGAGGTGCGTATATTGAGAGGACCAATGGCTAAATTCTATTTAGTTGCTTCAATTTGACAGTTATGGTATGGTACATGCTGACTCACTGTCACAGGGTCACTTAAACTGAACACAGCCACTAAAGTTAAGTCTGTGTGACTTCTCTACCTGATCTCGGTGCCAAGTCCATTGGTTTATACTGAAGACAGGTTCACAAATACATGGCTCCATTAAATAAAGACTCTACTTTTATAAAACAGCTTGACACTGTAGTTTTAAACAAATATTACTCTAACAGGAAGAAACGCTGCTTTTGTTTGAAACTGTTTTCATTGGTACATCCATGTTTAGCAACTCTAATGAAAATTTGGTGCAGCAGGACACTGAGTGTGCTGTTAGATTTGTTTTTTAACACTTGGTCACTGATGTTATTTACATTTCAATGGAAATAGCATCTGTATACTGACCCATGCGTATTAAAGAGCATTCAGATGAGGAGCTGGCTGCGGGCGGTTTGATGTGCATCATCAGAAGCTCTTTGAAGTGACTTTCATCCAGGATGACGTGGTATAAGCCACCCGTCTCCCTGGTCAACACCGTGCACACCCGGACCTCTGCCGACAGGCCGATTACTGACACCCGCACCTTCAGAGACTTCAGGGTCTGACCAGGGAGGAACACAGTCGTTCATGAAGGAAAAGCAGACCAGAAACACATGTCGCATACACATTACACCTAACAGCTGAAATGCTTTAACAACTACTGACTGGACACTGATGACTGTGCACCTCATTGGTAAGGGTGTGACT